AATTTCAAGTTTCCTAGAGATCGAACCACGCTTTGTTTCTCGTGTCGCCAGAAGAAGCTTGAGCTATGCAAAAATTGAGTACAATTTTGTGGAGGGTTTTTTAGCGAAATCCACCAAAATGCGAATTGCGGGTGAAAGGGACGTCGGAAGTGGGTACAGACAAAGGGAATGTGGTAGCCTTCGACAAGATGGTCTTGATGGTGGAGTCAGAACTAGCTAATAGAATACTGATCTGCCATACAACATTGCACTGAAGTTCCTTCGATCTCACACAAGAGCTTTGATAATTTTTTTAATGTAAAAATACAATAGAACATGCTTCTTCACAGTCTCGGCGTATGGAATTGTTTTTTAATATATTTTATTTATATATTTTTAATATATGCCCTTTTATTAGGCTCGTTTGATAGAGATTTTTTTCTCTCTTCGTTGACGTAACATGTTAGTACACTTATACAAAAAAAATTTTTCAAAAAATTTAAAAACTATTTGTTAATTACATCAATAACATTAATCTAGATATAGATACATCAAAATAAAACAAATGAACGTGTACGTTTCTTATTAAACCTTGAAGATAAAATGTGCGCTTTAACTGCAAGACAGTGGCCTAACCTAACACGAAAAGCATGAAAAAAAATTAATTTCTTGTATAAGTATCAAGTATCAAGGGTGCTAACATGTTAAGTCAGTGAAAATAGAAAAAAAATCTCTGAACCTAATAAAAGTGTACATTACTAATTCAAAATTCAATTGTTTTCCGTTACCCATTTGTTTTCTGAAATCAAAATAACTGAATGCTGCCTTATTATGGGAAATTGTATATTAAACCACTTTTAATTTTTAAAGAGAAAATACATACATAGTGGGCACCCTGTATATGGTAATAGACATTGAATATTGAATAAAATTTATTCAAAGTTATAGGTATGTATTTACTATTATACTCAAAATTCATGTCCAATCGCGCATCTAGGAGGGGATGGAGAGGGTGATAGAGCAAAATAAGTCGAAAGTAAGAAACATGCGTTTTCGATATTCGCACAAATTAGAATACTTCTTAAAAAAAAGGCGTAGGTATTTAGATCACCATGTCCGCAGTAACAGATCTCGCAAACTGTGGAGAAAACTAAAAAGTCTAAATGTTTGATGTACGAACAAGATTGAAGTTTCTTTGCAACTAAATAATCTTGCTTATTAATGAAGCCCTCATTCTCAAATCTAAAGATCGTGCTGATGAAAAATTAATAAATTTGCATTCGGAGAACACCATGTATGATTTTCTAACACAACTTAGATTTCAACATTATGAATGTCCTTTATAACATTAAACCTAGCGTTGCTAAATGGTCGTAAATCGAAAGCTATTCCTCTATGCCGTGGAGTGTCACAAGGTTCCATATTGGGCCCCTTGCTATTTATCCTGTACACCTCAAAATTCACTAGTATGCAGATAATACCCAGACTCCACTCTTCAAGGTGCTTGAACTCGTTTAACAATGGTTTTTAAAAGGTCTTAAAGGCACGCAAAAGCGCCCTTAAACACTCGGCTCCTAAGAGGGGAAAGAATCTCAAGAATTTGAAAAGCTTCTGAAAGACTTTTGAAGACTTCGTCAAAGATTCTTAATCAGTCATAAATGCTTTTAAAGATGTCCCATGGCAATTCTGCTAAATGCTCTATAAAACGCTGTTAAGACAAATTAAGCATTTTTAGGGTCTAAAAAAGCATTTAAATTTTAAAAGAAAAACCTTGGAGCCTAATGTCAATTTTGAATAGGTTCTAAAGACTCTAAAAGCCTTTTGAAGGAGTCCAGAAAGAGACATTTGGAAAATCTATTAAAAACCTTTAAAGGACCGAGAGATACCGACAGATTTTGTGCGATGATTAAGTAAACGTCTGTCACCCCAATTTTCTTTTTACATAGGTTAGAGAAGTAACGTATAAATGTATATCATAGGTCTGTTGAGCAGTTCCATCTATGTTTAAGCAATTTTTGAAATTGTTGTCAACACAACAAACAATCACATAAGAGTCAGGAAAATAATACATTACAGGGGAGGAAATATTGAAGTTCCTAGGCCCCTTTGCAGCCGAGTACTTTAATCTCAGAGTCAAAAGTGAAATTTTACTGACGGGTTTTGTATTAAATTTTACCCGAAATTGTATTTTAATATATAATTTCAGTTTTCAGATAGAACTTTTGATTAATGTCAATCTGTCATTGACGACAAGAGTCATAGACATTTAGCAATGTTATAGGCGCGGCCGGTAAAGTGCAAGGGGGCAAAAAAGGTGGTCTGCCTCTGTCATGGAAACTAACATTTCCCTGCCATAGAGTACGCATGAAAAGGAAGGTTTCATGATGAAAATTTATTAATCGACATCTGTCATGATGTAAATATATTTGATATTTCATATTGATAGAAGTTTGTCAATCAAACTTTTTTTTAGAAATTTTGGAAAATGCCGATTTCGTTTATGTTTTTTTCTGCTGTTATTATAAGAGATACAAAAAAACAACACTTTCTCATTTCCACTATTTCGGCTCTACAATACAACGTTTCGTTTCGGAGAAATAACCATTAACTTTATTTTTTTATATGGCCCGTAGAGAAAGTACATACTGTATTGAGTAATATTTTTTATTACCAACACAACGATGTATGGCACACACACAAAAAAAGTTGGAAACTGTTGATTTATTTCAACAGGATGGTGCACCTGCGCACAACGCCCTAATCGTGTGAGAATACCTATAGGACACATTTTTCATTTTCTAAGAAAATTTTTAAATATACGAGTATACTAGCCACTATCATGACTTGTAAAGTTGGCTTTCTCGGCAGCTTTTGAAAGTGGTTAGCAATGACATCATTATCAACTAGTAGGCAATAGCACAAAATCTGTTAGTTTAAAGTACTAGTAGTGAAGAAAATAATATACAGAGCGAGTGTAAAGTCTGGAAGTATCACAATAAATCTGTTAGTAAACGTTTTTGAAAAAAATCCTCGAACACGTCAATTTTTATCTTAAATGAGACATATTTTACTTGTCATTTAAGGATCGTCTTTTGTTTTTGAGATATGACGGAGAAGTTGTCAAGTATCGTGCGATCAAAAATGAGTGGCTGTCGAGTAGCCTTTGGAAGTTAAAGTTAAGTACGATTTCCCATGTAAACAAAAATTCCAAAGGTGACTCGACAGCAACTAAGTTTTGATCGCTATGTAGTTTTGTAATTGCATAATTTTCAGCTTTGCACATTGTATATAAGTATAATATGTTACATCCAAAATTGATAAAAATGATGATGTCTTTCATTGTTTCAACAATTAGTGATCACTAGCTAGCTAAAGTGAGTGTACTTATTAAACCGAAATGAGTGAGTACAAAAGTACATAGATCCAGGTGCCACTAGTAACGGGCGATTATTGCCATCGAGTCGCCTTTGGAAGTTCAAATTAAATATTTCCCATGTAAACAAAGCTTCCAAAGGTGACTCGCCAGCAATTGATTTTTGATCCCATAGTACAATAACGTCATCAGTACGTCAAGTGCGGCACTAATGACATCAATAAAAATTTGAAACATGATTATTCTGATACATTAAACAAAACAGGTGTTTATTATCGAATTCCTAATGAATATTAAATTATTCTTGAATGTTGTAAGTCTTACAGAATGTCATAATTTTGCGTTAAAAGATAAGGTTGAGGCATAATAAAAAATTTGGTCAAATTCTGGTCAAATAGGTCGAAACATTATAATGTAGGAATTAATTGGTAAACAAGTATTGGATCCCACTTTCCTGATATTAAGCATTCAAAGTAGTTAAAAAATGTCACCTGTCATAAAAGCAAGTTATGCTTGAGGTACATATACAGGGTGCCCGTTATGTATGGAATATAGTATAATAGCTCGGTAAATAATGGCTGTATACAAAATGTTTCTATATATAAAATTTGTTTAATATTTTATTTCCCATAATAACGGAGCATTCAATTGTTTTTTCAAAAAAAAACAAATGAATAACGAAAAACGATTGAATTTTTTTTTAAATAACAATGTATCTTTTTATTAGGCTCGTTTGGTAGAAATTGTTTTTCTCTTTTCCATGACGTAACATATTAGTACCTACCCTTATGTGAAAATGTTTCAAAAGCTCTATTAAGTAATCAATAACATTAAACTAGATATCCTACATCAAAATAAAACAAATGAACGTATACAATTCTTATTATACCTTGATGACAAAACGAAATTAGCTGTAAAATGGTTTTCAATAAGGGTTCAAAATGGCAGTGGGGTAAGCTATCACGTACAATTGTTTTTCGTTACTGATTCGTTTTCTGAAACAACAGCAGAGTGTTGCCTTATTGTGGGAAATGAAATATTAATTAACTTTTATATAGCAAAATTTTGTATACAGTCGTTATTTAACACATAGTGGGCACCCTGTATTTAGGTACGGATTAAGGTATTTTTATTTATATACCCAAGGACTGAAGTGTATCATTTAATCTTTAATGCTGCCAATGTTTTTCCGATAATCCAAACTAGTTTTACTTAAGGAAAGAGGCACGTTATGTATTGGGTGAGTAATCTATGGTAGAAAGCCTGTTCAGTAGCGTGATTGGTTTGCAATAATTATTCATTAAAAGAATAGCAGAGCTCAACCTATTTTGTAAATGACGAGATTTCCAAAGCTCCTTTTAAGGTTTAAAATTGTATAATGAGGTTTCTAAGGCATACAGCTGTAATTTCAATGTAATCAGATCAAAACTGACGCCAAACTAATGGAAAAGAAAACTATTAAAATTACCAAACCAAGTGGTTATCTTCCTCTTTTGTTAGTATTGCTCCTTACGTTAAGTGTCGTCCTTAGTTCCCCATAAAACATCTAAAGATCCCTCAAAATGTAGAACATTTGGGAAAATGAAGGTCAAAATCATAATTGTTTTGAAACTTAAAGCTTGTAAAAAGGCGAATATTATTGACAAACGCAGTTTACTAGCCTTTATTCATAATGCGAAAAGTAAGCAACTTTTCACCAATTAATAAATACGAGTACATTAGATATAAAACAATAAATTAGCAAAATGAAAAAAATACTGACAGTTTCTGGAAGGGCTAGTTTTTCTGAAAAATATGTATATATGAAAATAGGAAGAAGCTTGCAACCAAAGGCACTTACTTAATCTTCTAACGCCGTAATGTAAAAACGAACTCCAAAAACTAGAATGGCCGTTGCGATGGCCGCTATCATAATCATAATGATAATGGCTGGACATATTGCCGTAGCGTCACCGGTACGTAAATACGATAATTCCGGCTTAAGCATTTTATCACTTTCGCCGATGTGGCCTTCCACTAATGAGACCATTGTTTGGCACTCACTGAAAATTTGAAGCACAAGTTGTAGTACACAAGCAGGGCAACAAAGAGTACTGATTCATTTCGTGCACACTCAGGAACAGAGATAAGGCAGTTATTTATATACAGTTTCTTTTCCTGATAACCTTTATCTGGGAAAACGTCGATTGTTTATGGTACTACGAGTACAATTTTTGCTGATCAACCATTAAATATTTATTTATTACAATGGCTAAGGTGTTGGCCTTGCCTCAATAGCAAACGAGGTTAAACTTGTAGACAAAGTGAGTTTAGATTTTGAGGGACTTCAGACTTCTTCGGTTCCTTCACTTTTACGGATTTTCAAGTAGTTTAGGCATTTAATATCACAGAAAGTATACCTGGTGTACAAAATTTAAAGGTTCAAACTTTCCAGTAGTAGGTGAAAAACGATCGTCTTATCTACCTCATTTGAATTCTATGGGGCATTGTATTTTTATAGGATCCGGAAATCGGGGAGTAATGGCATCAGCCATTCTTATTAAAAATGGGACGCGGAGCATGAAATAAAAATGAAGTGTACAACAGAAAACAACCAACTTTACTTTTTTGACATTAAAATTAATTTCAAAATCACACTCTAACCTGATCCATATCTTCAAAGTGCTTTTTATAATAATTTTGTGAATATATTGATGAAAACAAAGAAACTAATAGTACGAGATATGACAGTAGAGTTAGGGCTTAATGACTAAAGATGGTTGCTTCTGTAAGACGAGGCGTTAGCGTAACGGAAGGAATTGTCAAAATCGAAAAACTGAATCCGACGCGTCACGTTTACGTTATTCCCTTATACGTGAGAATTATAGAGTGAAAAATAATTACTATTCACTCATACACGGAAGCATAATAATTTTCATTTTTAATTAAATAATTTCATTACCTGCTTAGATGGTATTCACTCAACGCGTCAACCAAATACGAAATTAGCGTATGAAAAACAAAAAGACTCGCCGTTTAAAGGGCAGGTAACCAGCAAAAGATGGATCAATACTTAGGTATGTACTAAAAAAAAATGTAGGAAAAATTAATATCAACGTGGCATCCCAAAAGGGTGTGACACCCGCTATTTATTATACACACCATCACGCCTCATTTTATTAAATTTGCTTATCTCAAACGAGTCGCGTCTTCGCCAGTATGACCGTTAGATCTTTTATTCGCAATTTCAAAAACTACGTTACCCATTACTGCAGTAACGCCAGCATTCACGGTTTGAAATTTTTGGCGGAGAAAGATCGCAGCATCTTGGAGAGGTGAGAGTTTGATCTGCACGATTCGTGGTACGATTTTCATTGTATTTCAGATTATGGTGGTTGGTTTTCCTTACTTTCGCCATATTCCTGTGTGCGAGTTCCGTTTTGACCACGCACGCAAAATGGCTCAATTCGCCAGTTATTGTTTCATTTGCGACTAGCGAAACGCCGATCTATCAAATTCCGTTTCCGGCCATTACGATTTGTCCGCTTAATAAGATTGAGAGTGAACAATTAAGTATTAATGCAACTGGGGCAGAGTAAGTACACTTAATTTCGATGTAATGATGATACAAACAAATTTTTGGGCATTTTCAAGCAACAAATTCTATGAAACTGTTTCGACCGCGATGCCATCATCATCAACGAGCGCATAAATTAGACAACAGTTTTTCAATGCAATTAAACAAATTTCTTACAGAAAAAACGTAAACTGTTCGTGAGTCTGAATTGGAGTAGGGCCATATTTTAAAACAGCGTATAAACTACTGCGGAAAAAAACGCCGGAGGACACAGTTTCGTGTTACTAAGGTTCCGAGAAAAGCAATCCGTTTGGGTACAGCGCGTTCGCATAATCAACTGTCATTAATACAATTAATATTAACTTCGACGTTACGTTACATTAGGCGACCTCATTTCGAAGAAGTCGTACTATAAGCAAAACGCGGTCGTAGTTAAACAATCAGAGACAAAAGTGGCATTTTATTTACCAACAAAGTCAAATCATAAGTGGAAAAATTAGCGTGTGCAAAGCATATTGTAATTTGACTTTTTATTCGTGTATACAAACAACTCGAATTATTTCATCGAGAATTTACGCAAGTTTTGAACACAGTCAAGATAAAAAACAAGAGGCAATTTTGTACGAGGGCAAGTCACAAAAGGGCACAACTGTATCACCCTAAAAGCGAACCAGTTTTAAATTGTTCTTGGAGGGAGCCTTTTCAGAGGTCAATTGTAATGTAAAGAAAACACTGATTGCAGTGATATTCGCTATTTCTAGTTTTGAAATATTACAATAGCCACCATTTTGAAAATAATGAAGTGAAGTTTGTGATTATTTTATATACGTTTCAGAAGTGTCATGGTGTCGGAACGCACCGGAACGGCGTTCCAGCACTCGTTTTACAGAAACAATACACATGCAGCCTACATTTTACGCGGCAACAAAACAAAGAAAATATTCCCCCTATGCACTTGTCATTATGATAATAACTGATTTAAAAACTTAACCAGTTATGTTTCCTGGAAAATGGAAAATATGCCTGATAGGTAATCTCGTACGATTAGGGCGTTGTGCGCGGGTACACCATCCTGTTGAAACCAACAATTTCCAATTTTTGTTTTGTGTAAGTACCCTATATCGTTGTATTCGTAATAAACAAATCAGCATATGCATGATTAAAGCGCATTTTTGGTAATACAGGTCAGTATTTTATTAGCGAAGTTTAAAATTATCGATCTCACGTGTAATTTTGGCTGCGTTAAATAATTAATTTTATTTAATTTCAATTGAGGATACGTCTTTATTTTGTAAAACAAATCGCAAAGTAAATAATTAAGTTTTTATGCTGGTAGCGCTACCTAACGGTCAAATTATAGCACCTCCGAAAACCATATCGAAATTATTTTCTTAAATTATCGATCTCACAAGTAATCTAACTCAAAATAGACCAGAGCCTGCACATCTACACTACATCAGAAAGGTGAAAATTTGAAGTCTCTAGCTATTGTAGTTGCCGAGATCTCACCCGGACAGCCGGCCAACTAGCCATAACGAATATAATAGCGTCTTTTTTTCAAAAATGCGCTAAAAAATTGTAATAATCAACTCTGTGTATATTCTAATACCGTCAAAACGTGCAACTCTAACGAAAATTTAAAAAAATCAACTCCATTAAAGGTCTCCCGTTACCATTGGAGGTGCATATGCTACTTTTAAAATGGGGGTAGCTGGGGGTGCGAATGTAAATTAAGGTAAACCTTTGATTAAATGTCTTCCTAGCTATCTAAACGGGCGTAGTGTTGTAGTTTTTTGTCAAGACTCAAGATTAAAATTCACAATCGGTTTACAGTGTTACCCCAAAACTTTAGTTTTATTCACTGCCACTTAGCACGAAAGAAATTGTTGCTGCGATTTACACAGGGTGGTTCACTGAAAACAGTCAATGCCAATTTTGCCCATTTAACGACAGTTTTTCCAGAAACGCTCGAACACGTCAATTTTAGTTTTTAGGGGGACACCTAAATTAAGTAATACTACTTACATAACTTTAACCCCGAGAAGGGGGTGAATTGCACCCCAAAAATTTTAAATGGGAAGGGGTGGTAAATGTAGTCAGTAGTTCCAGACAAAACTCGATTTAAATGGATTTGCTGGGACGTTGTAAATGTTTCTTAAGTAGGCGTTGAAGTTGAAATAATTGAGAGCTTGTGTCAGACAAGAACATCTGAAGTGCAATAAGTGCACAAGCAATGAAGCGAATTTGTGATTAACTTGTTTAATTTTGTGGTAAATTCAAGAACAATGACGGTTTACACCTCGGTTTACACTATAGCGCAAAGGGTGGAAATTGTTTCGATTTTTTTTAAATGGCGATTCTGGCTTCACAAATTCGCTTCCTTGTTTGTGCACTTATGTCAGATGTTCTTTTCTGACACAAGCTCTCAATTATTTCAACTTCAACGCCTACTTAATAAACATTTAAAACGGCCCAGCAAATCCATTTAAATCGAGTTTTCTCTGGAACTACTGATCGGATTTGAAAAACAAAAACAGTTCTGAAAACATAATGAACATTCCTTTCGACCTATCTAACATGTACTACCCCTTCCCATTTACAATTTTTGGGATGCAATTCACTCCCTTCTCAGGGATAAAGTTATGTAAGTAGTATTACTTAATTTAGGTGTCCCCCTCAAAACTAAAATTGACGTGTTCGAGCGTTTCTCGCAAAACTGTCGTTAAGTTGGCAAAATTGGCATTGACTGTTTTTAGTGGGCCACCCTGTATAGTGTAATTCGAATCTCATTATGCAACTATTATACTATGTATGTACACTTAAAAAACCACGTATTATAATTTCTACCGAAGGTTTGCAATAGTCACGTGAGTTGTTTTTTGTAAAACCGCGACCTTTTCCGAACGAGTATTTAATTAATTTTGCGCTTATTTTAAAACGGAAAGCGTTGAGGAGGGTCTCAAAAATCGCCAAAAATTGAAGATGAGTTTTAAAACGGGTTTCGGGAACGTTAGGGATTTAATTTCTTAATTTTTGAAGGGAGAAAGAATTTTAAAAACGTGCAATGTTCGTTTCCTATCACCATCTATTCCATGTATTGACATGATTTTTTAAAAGCATACATGGCCCATTTAAGAAACATTGGTTATCACTAGCACTGACTGCCGATTTCCAAGCTGGCTGCGATCGGAAATGTTCAGTTCAAAAACCACCAAAGAAAACTTTTGCAATTAAAACACTTTGACTTTTGCTTCTCCCAAAATTCATCTTTTGTTTTTTAAGTCAAAGTCAAAAATTTCTGTTGCAGGACAATGAAGTACGCGTCTTTAATATGCCCCAAAGCGATGCGGTACGTTTACGAGTATGCCGAAACTGTCGATGAGGGTGCACTGGACTTCTTACTAAACGTCAGTATCCTAATTGTGAATTAAAAAAGTTGATCGAGAAACTTTCAGATATCGAGCGATTTCGAAAAGGACGTGTGGCACTGTAACATGAAACAAGAGTACTGCAATTATGATGATTATCCTAATTTTGTGCCAACACTATCCACAGATGGGGTGTGTTTTTCATTTAATTCCTTAGATCGAAGCGATTTATTTACGTCAGAAACTGAGTAAGTTATATGCTGATTTTTTGGTAAGTTACTCGAATGTGGAACACACAGTATATTATTTGGTTCTTGTACCAGGACATACAATTTAGGTACAAAATCGTTTCCTAGGCCTTTTTGCGTAGGTCGAAACGAATATTTGTTTCAAAACATTTTCAAAAAATAAAAAGTTTCGTTTCCATACCTTTGGTTGGTCTCCTATGGTACCAAATGATGTCCATAATGGCAGTTGCTACTCGGCAAACCACAACGGTGATTAATATCGCGAAAATTAGTCAGGTCAAAAGTTGCGAACAGTCCACTCCGAAACGCGGTCACGGATCAACTGGTAACAATCGAATTTACGCGTTATCACCTGAAACAAGTTTCCTTTCAATGTCGATTACTCATCATTTTTTCTCGGTTTCAAATAAACAAGTTAGATTAAACGGCCGAATTTAGACACCTCTAACTCGAAAAACGTGACTTTTCAAATACGGAAAGGCGAATATATCGGACTTAGAATTCGCCGTGGAATTACCAAAGGGTCCCTGCATCCAAAATTTTTTTTGGCAACCCGATGTTGAGGTTGTTATTATGCTCCGGACGAAATTTTGAATTTTAAAAGTTAGTCGTCGGTTAATTTGACCCATACACAGTGTGATTACTTAGAAATTGTATCTGAATTGCTCATTAACCATGGAACTAACCTTTTGAAGGAAAACCGTCCGTTCTTAATACAAAAACCTTGTTTCGAGCCGAATCGAAAATAGCCCTGTCTGTTACTAAAGTCGGAAGTAAAGTTTCTTGAGGGCCTTCTAGCTTGAAATCTGGTGCGTACCCCCTTACCTTAACAGTCAATAGAAATGGCAACACTGAATCCGCGTGAAGATATAGAAAGGTGCCTAAACAAGAACTTGAATTTTGAATTGCGCGCCACTTTCGACTGTCAATTGTTGAGTCGGCCATCTTTGGTATTTGTTTAATTAAAACATTGACATTTACGAAAATGGAAGAACGTTTGAACAGTGAAAACTCATTACAAAAATGGGGAAAATTTTACTGTGACGATTCGCAAGTTACGTAATCATTTCGGTGTGCATAATCGACCCTGCTATTGAGAACTTGATCCAAAAATTTGAGCGGACGTTTTCATTGAAAGATGAAAAAGAGCTTACCCGTCATCGGCCCAAAAGGTCGGCGGAAAACGTCGCATCTGATAGGGATTGTGGTCCAGCACGACCAAGCAACTAAACCTTCATCGCAGCACTCTTCAACGGATTTTGAGAAAAGAGTACTGCAATTATGATGATTATCCTAATTTTGTGCCAACACTATCCACAGATGGGGTGTGTTTTTCATTTCATTCCTTGGATCGAAGCGATTTATTTACGTCAGAAACTGAGTAAGTTACATGCTGATTTTTTGGTAAGTTACTCAAATGTGGAACACACAGTATATTATTTGGTTCTTGTACCAGAACATACAATTTAGGTACAAAATCGTTTCCTAGGCCTTTTTGCTTTGCTTGCCTAGGTCGAAACGAATATTTGTTTCAAAACATTTTCAAAAAATAAAAGATTTCGTTTCCATACCTTTTGGTTTAGTCTCCCATGGTACCAAATGATGTCCATAATGGCAGTTCCTACTCGGCAAACCACAACGGTAATTAATATCGCGAAAATTAGTCAGGTCAAAAGTTGCGAACAGTCCACTCCGAAACGCGGTCACGGATCAACTGGTAACAATCGAATTTACGCGTTATCACCTGAAACAAGTTTCCTTTCAATGTCGATTACTCATCATTCTTTCTCTGCTTCAAATAAACAAGTTAGATTAAACGGCCGAATTTAAACAGCTCTAATTTATATTAAAATAAGAAAACTCGAAAAACGTGACTTTTCAAATACGGAAAGGCGAATATATGGGACTTAGAAATCGCCGTGGAAGTACCAAAGGGTCCCTGCATCCAAATTTTTTTTGGCAACCCGAGGTTGAGGTTGTTATTATGTTCCGGACGAAATTTTGGATTTTAAAAGTTAGTCGTCGGTTGTTTTGACCCATACACAGTGTGATTACTTAGAAATTGTAACTGAATTGCTCATTAACCATGAAACCAACCATTTAAAGGAAAACCGTCGGTTCTATTTAATACAAAAACCTTGTTTCGAGCCGAATCGAAAATGTCTGTTACTAAAGTCGGAAGTAAAGTTTCTTGAGGGCCTTCTAGCTTGAAATCTGATGCGTAGGCCCCCTTACCTTAACAGTCAATAGAAATGGCAACACTGAATCCGCGTGAAGATATAGAAAGGTGCCTAAACAAGAACTTGAATTTTGAATTGCGCGCCGCTTTCGACTGTCAATTGTTGAGTCGGCCATCTTTGGTATTTGTTTAATTAAAATATTGACATTTACGAGAATGGAAGAACGTTTGAACAGTGAAAACTGATTACAAAAATGGGGAAAATTTTACTATGACGATTCGCTAGTTACGTAATCATTTCGGTGTGCATAATCGACCCTCGCGGCCTGCTCTTGAGAACTTGATCCAAAAATTTGAGCGGACGTTTTCATTGAAAGATGAAAAAGAGCTTACCCGTCATCGGCTCAAAAGGTCGGCGGAAAACGTCGCAGCTGATAGGGATTGTGGTCCAGCACGACCAAGCAACTAAACCTTCATCGCAGCACTCTTCGACGGATTTTGAGAAAAGATTTTCCGACTGGATCTTGGAACAACTGTCAAGTGACGATGAGTTTCACAACAAAATCGTCTTAAGGACGAGGCTCATTTCCACCTCAATGGCTTCGTTAACAAACAGAATTCTCGAATCTGGGGAGATAAAAATCCACATGTCATTCGCGAGACCAAAACCAGCCGACACGAAGTTGTTTACACTATTTTCTCTGTGGTTTTTTGAAAGGTAAGGTCTATGCGAACCACTGAGGACCTCAAAGAAAAAATTGCACGTCAAATTCATCAAATCCAGCAGGTTTTACTGCAAAATTTTGTCAAAAGAGTGCATACCTTTATTTATTTATTTATTTATTTCGATACAGATTTTCATTTGATACAAGTTTACGACCAATAAAAATGCACCATTACGGGATGACGACGCACAATTTATGAAAATCAAAGTTGCCATTACAATGACAGATCTAAAAATTATTAGTTTTGACAGCTGCTGAGCATAGCGAATTGGTATTTTCTCCCAATTCCCATACAAACGTAATAGTAAGATTTAAATCGGCGGCCATCTTGAATAAATTTGACAGTGACTTCCGTTGGAACGCGTTACCATGACTACGCATGCTTTGAGGTCGCTGACTTCACTAAAAATCTCAAATTTTGGACCGCTTTTGAGGCTATCGTGGCATCGCCGCTTTATAGGTAATTATAGTCGTAGAAAAACTAGTGTAGGAAACTTGCATTTAATGCTATTGAGATTTTAAGACACGAGTATGAGTATGAATATGAGTATGGTAGTAGAGTAGTACCTACAGCCATAATTAATTCATTGCATAATAAAGGTACTATTTGTTTCATGTGTAAATGTCATCACTACCTCCATAAATATATACATTTTTTTTTTAAATATATTAAATAAATATATATGTTTCTATTTTTAAAATTCAAGTTCTTACTGAGACACCCTTTATAACCAAATACCTTAATATATTCTATAACCGAAAATGGGCAATAACGATACGGCAATAAATATGCAAAAATATGCAAGGTGAGTAGAACTATTGATTATACACACTGTATAGTATGTTCTCCTAATATAATACTATGCGATCAAAAAAGAGCAGCTGTCGAGTCACCTTTGGATTTTTTTTACATCATAATAATGTCTTTATCTTTCAGGAAAAAAAAACAAAAATACAATTATATGCACTAGAGAGGGAAATCTTATTTAACATAAACTTCCAAAGACGACTCGACGTCAAACCATTTTTGATCCTCCGTTATAGCTTCTTCGAATAATAATGATAAGATCTCCTCATGTGGGTTGTTGTAACACACCAGTTCTTGATATTGGTTGCGCAAGAAGTAAAGAATGGGGACCGTCAAAGAAAAAAAGGTCCCATGGTTCCTTTTGAAAGTCTCTCTCGGAGCTCAGAGTTTTGCGTAAAAACGGAGAACCGGTGGTCTGGGGGGTATATGAAACACCCCCCAGTATACGAGATTTTCATTTGTATAGATTGCATGATTGTAGAAAAAGGGTAAAACTAATTTCCGTGTACTAGGGGGGTATTAATACCCCTCAGACCCCCTAGCGCTACATTCTAGCCCAAAAATGTTTAGTGTTAGCACTCTCATGATTGGTTTAGAAAAAAGACCATAGAAGTTAGCTTCGTCCCCCCCCCCCCACCCCTCGGTCCTACATTCTCACCCAAAGCATTACCACTCCCATGAGTGGTTTAGAAAACAGAACACACAAGAAAATAGAAATAAGCACTACGTTCCTGTGGAGGATGCAACATTCGTTTATAGTCTTTTTTGGAAATGTCAGTATCCTCAGGGTTTAAAGTTTGTCATAAAAATGTAGTACCGGTGGGTCTGGGGAGTATATGCCCCCCCCCCCTCCCCCCCAGTATACGAGGTTTTATTACGGTAGTTATGATTGTAGAAAAAAAAACTCATTTTCGTTTACTGGGCGGTATTTCATACTCCCCAAACTCCCCGGTGCTACATTCTAGCCCAAAAATGTTTAGCGTTTAACACTCCCATACGAGCTTTAGAAAAAAGACCGTAAAAGTTAGCACTACGATCCTGTGGAGCATGAAACATTCGTTAAAAAAAGAAGGTACGATGGTCTTTTTTGAAAATGTCAGGAAAGTATTCGTCAGGGCTTAAAAAAGGGTAATCGACCCCCCCCCCTACAGAACTGCGATTCTGCGGAGCATAGAACATTCGTTAAAAAAGAAGGTCCGACGGTCTTTTTTGAAAATGTCAGGAAAGTATTCGTTAGGGCTTAGAGTTTTACATAAAAAAGTAGCACCGGGGGATTTGGGTGGTACGGAATACCGCCCAGTATGAAAGGTTTTCATTCGTATGAGTTTTATGATGGTAGTGATGATTGTACGAAAAGACCCCCCGGTGCTATATTCTCACCCAAAAAGGTTCAACGTTAGCCCTCCCAAGAGTGGTTTAGAAAAGAAACTAAACAAGTTCTACGATATGTTGTACTGGGGGGTATTCCATACAAGATCTATTCAATATTTGAAAAATATACAGGGTGTTCCATTAAAAATGTACCAAATTTTCATCTTTTACTAGCTTTGCGATATTCATTTGTTTTTTAATTTACATTTTCTGGCGATTTAGGATAAACACCGTAACTTTTGTTACTTAGTTCTCTTACAATAAACCCGCTGTCCAAATTAACAGAAGTACCCTGTAACAATGCTATTATTTCATTAGTATACCTACAGGTTGATTCAAATTCGAGGGCCACCATGGGGATCTCGGGAACTGTAAGAGATAGGTAAGTAGTTTAAATTTGGAAAGCTTGTGTCTTTTGGATGCAGTTTTGAAACTGAAAAAATTCCGACTACTTTCGGAGATCCGGAAAAAAACGAAATTTTGCAAAATAGTTTTTAATTTTGAAGGAAGTTATTTAAAAAGATATTTCGAAATAAACGACACATTATTATGGCCATTTTTTTCCCTTTACAAGATTGCTACTTTTAAATTTTAATTTTGACGTTTCGTCGCCAGTCAACCAACATTAACTGTGTTTTTAGCGCATTTTTGAAAAAAATACGCTATTATATTCGTCATTGCTGGCAGGCCGGCTGTCCGCGTTAGATCTCCACAACTACAATAGCTAGAGACTTCAAATTTTCACTAAAAGCTTCCTGCTATAGTGTAGATGTGCAGGCACTAGTCTATTTTGAGTTAGATTACTTGTGAGATCGATAATTGAAGAAAATAATTTCGATATGGGTTTCGGAGGTACTATAATTTTACCGTTAGCGCTACCAGTATAAAAACTTATTATTTACTTTGCGATTTGTTTTACAAAATGAAGACGTACCGTCAATTGAAATTAAATAAAATTAATTATTTAACGCAGCCAAAATTACTCGTGAGATCGATAATTTTAAACTTCGCTAATAAAATACTGACCTGTATTACCAAAAATGCGCTTTAATCATGCATATGCTGATTTACAACTTGTTTCTTATGGAAGTCATTTTTACTTTTTGTGCCATTGGATAGAGTATTTTGTTCTGATTTCAAAAATGCAAATATCACTATTTTTTAATAAGAAATGGCGCTATTAATTCGTAAAAACGCAAGGAATTACTAATGTACACTATCCAAGACAAAATTTTCTAGGCAAAAAAGACGATATTTTAACAATATTAAAAAAATTGTGATGTTTACATTTTTGAAATCAGGAAAAAATTTTCTATCAAGTGACACAAAAAGTAAAAATCCTTCCATAAGAAAAAACAACGAAACGTCGAATTTAAAATTTAAAACTAGCATCTTGTAGAGGGAAAAAAAGGCCATAATATTGTGTTGAATATGAAAAATAAAAACGATTTCGCAAAATTTCAAAAGTAGTCAGAATTTTTTCAGTTTTAAAACTGCATTTTGTTAAGCATCAAAATACGCAACTTTGCCAAATTTAAACTACCTACCTATCTCTTATAGTTCCCGAGATCCCCATGGTGGCCCTCTAATTTGAATCAACCTGTATAAATGCGCCATAAGTCGGTATTGAACGGTTAAATATCTTGGCTATGTATGAACAGATTTGTTTATCAAATTGGTGTCAATTTCTAGAGTAAAATTCAAAAAAATCATTGGTTGTAAGGAAACTTTTTCACTTCTGAGTTGGTCGGAAATGACCCCATAGTTTTTTTTACGAAATAGAAGTCTGAAAATCTGTTTTAAAAAAAATTGGAGTATTTTCCGGCAAAACCAGAACTGGGAAAAATTGCCAATGAATTTTACTCGAAATTTAAGAAAAATTGGGACATCTAAATTTGATCCTTTAATTGAGGGAAGACAATGGGAAGGAGAAAAACAACTCTTCCCAGCTCACTGGTACATGAACGTGTAATCATAAAAGTTGTTTTTAGCTTGGACTACTACGATCGGTTAGGAATTCCACATCAGCCCAATTCCTCTTGGAGTACCAGATACGGTTACCATTTGAGTGCGCCATTAATAACCTACCCCCGTAGAGCTATCGCAACTGGCGCGTCCGGTGGACTGAATCTTATCCTTCACAGCCTGAAAGCAAAATTCGATGACCTATGTGGAGGCGTACTCGACGGCTACAAGGTACACCCTTCTTAACAACCCTCATTATTGGCATTAATTTCAGATCGTCATTCATCATCCCAGCGAGTCCCCCCAGTACGACCAACGATACTTCCTGCTTCCCCAAAACGAACTGGTTTCGGTCGCGGTTAAACCCAAAATGTTACGGACGTCGCCCGAAATTCAAAAATACGCCGCGAAAGATCGCAAATGTTTTTTGGACTACGAGAGACAACTGAGATTTTTTAAAGTTTATGATCAGCAAAACTGTCTCAGTGAGTGCTTGACGAACTATTCGTACGCAAAGTGCGATTGTGTTGGATTTTATATGCCACGTACGTATTAGTGTTCTATAATAGTTTCTCTAACCAATCTTAATTTTAGATAGTAGAGGTACGCCGATATGTGGACCAGGTAGTGCAGAATGTCTTCGAACAGCAAAGAGTAAGTGGTCAAAGTGAAACCGAGCTAGTTTTTAAAAATCGCCGTTTAAAATTTGAGGCAGATTTAAATAATAGCAACATTAGATTTCATACCGAGCGCACATATGTACGTACGTCTTTATGCAGTTCTTTCAGTTCAAAACAAACCATCATCGGTTGCAATTTGTAATTTTTTTTATTAAAAAAAAAATTGCAAAAACCCTTCTATTTAGGGGTAGGTTCAATGGAAGGTTTAGAATCCATTCCCGCACCCCTACCAACTCTCACGTTTAAATTATACTAATCATTTTAAAGGCCTTACAATTTTGGATAGGAACGATTCCATTATTGGCTTGTGCGATGAGTAAGGTTTTTTTTAATCTGCTGAAACAGCGCCCCCTAGAACCAAAAATTGATACATCCTAGAGTAGTTTTGGAAATTCACTTTGCTCTGTTTCATTTTAGTCATGTCACCAAAAAGCGGATTCAATTCTCTAAGTGTTTTTTAGATGAGTTCTTCATAGCCGATAGTGAATTGCAGCTGGAAAACTACAAGAAAGAAGTGTCACTTCGGATGGATTCCATGAGTGGGGTGCCTAGAGAAAGAAAACAGTTTAGAAAAGTGGCCAAACCCAAATGCAACTGCCTCCCATCCTGTCATTCGCTAAGTTACGATGTCGAAACGTCACAGATAAAATGGAATTGGCATAACGACTTCAAGTACAGCGGCGAAACCATAAACTCCACCACGTAAACTCATTACCCCCGTTATTACCGAAGAGTACATTTGATTTTCAGATCGGGCATCTCTCGATTAAGGGTCTACTTCAAGGATTGGCAATTCATGAGCTCCGAAAGGAACGAACTGTACGGAGAGAGCGAATTCTGGGCGAACTGTGGAGGACTGTTCGGACTGTTTTTCGGATTTTCCCTAATGTCGGTTATTGAAATTGTTTATTACGCGACCCTTCGGCTCTGTTGCAATATCAGAAAGTTTGGTTTCGGCGGTTGGTCGGGCGCCGAAACGAAGGAGGCCAAGTTTTCGAAATAAATGCCTAACAAAAACGTTGTATTTCTTAGCAATTGCGCACAAACAAGAAAAAGCGAAGAGGAAATCAATTGGCTCGCGAAATGCAGGCAGTCAACGAAGCAATAAATTTTAATTAGCTAACTTCAAAGCAATTTCCATTCTTTCGAGAAGAGATTGACTTTCAGGAGAGGTAATTAGGTCTCAATTGAGTTACTTTTCTGAAATTCGTCCTTATTATTTTTTTTTTTTTATTAAAATTCTCCTCTTGTGAAGTTTCCCCGTTATTATCCCGGACAATACGATCCAATAAATACGTGACGTCACAGACGCGACAGATGGTACCTAGTAAAGGGTCGGCCCCATGACGCGTGCCCCATAATTCTACGAGATTTTGTCTAGGGAGTTACCCTTGTAAATTGACGCATTCAAATCTGCATGTATAATTTGGGGTTCATTTTGTAATTCCATTCGAGATTATTTTCATTCAGTACACTTTTTTTGTCGACTGCTGCCCCATTTACTTCCGCGAAATAAAGGAGAGATGCATTTGAGTGATAAGCAAAAAAATGGTACGCGTGCCTTTCAGTATGGATGACGGTTAGCTATGTCAAGGTCGTCGAGACAATGCCAATAATGTTCGTGCACCGTACAGCAGCTGGCCTGTTGAAGGGACGCTTAATAATATACAGTGGGGTTAATCACGAATGTAAAAATGTATCGATCACTGTCAAACAATTCATTTCATAATGCCCCAAGGGGGAGCCGTTTCGGCGATACAGGAAACCGTATGAAGTAATTAAGTGGATAGATTTCATTTTTGGTAAACCTCGTTGACTGTAATACGTACAAAACACGAACATATATAAGATATAACAGATAATTATTAAAGTATACAAATTTCCATTCAAAGTAACACAACATGTCACATGTGTAAAAAACAGTTCGTTTCCGATCCAATGCACCATAATGACTCCAATACGGTACAATGTATAAACGTAAAAAAAAATTTTTTTTTGGTATCAATTAATTTTATTTAAATATTAAATAATATATTTCGAACATTTAAAAAAGGTTTAAAGATTTAAGAGAGGAAGAAATTTCTCTGACCGATACGGAGATCCCAAGGGTAAGCCACGTATTTGAACCACCCTGTACAATTCTGTAACGTTTTGATTGAAAAAAAAACGATAAATAAATTTATTTTGTCTTTGATGATTTCGCAATAAATATAGTGGAGGGGGGAGGTCGATAGTGGAAAAATCTTGGCAAGATTTTCAGTACCCTTAAAGAATAGAATTTGAATAGGTTGCGGCCAGAAAAGATACCGAGAAAGATTTTAGAAAAATTTGAAGAGAATTTGGATTTGAAAAATGTCAAAAATGTTTCAAACAAATTCAGGAATATCTTTGGATGTCTTTTCTGTGAAACTTTTGGAAGGGGAAATTCGAAAAATACTTCTACAGTATTAAAAATAAAATAAGTAAAATGGGCGGGGGAGAAAATAGACATTTCCAAATGTCTATAATGACTCCTGTCATCACTGACAGATTGACATTAATCAAAAGTTCTATATAAAAACTGAAATTTTATATTAAAATACAATTTCGGGTAAAATTTAATACCAAACTCGTCAGTAAAATGACATTACCTGACTCGGAAATTAAAGTACTCGGCCTCAAAGGGGCCTCGCAATTCAATATTTCCTCACCAGTAATGTATCATTTTCCGGACTTATATGTAAATAACTATTTCCACGATAGTACTGTAGAATTATTTCCCAAATTTGTTTTTTTTACCGTCCCTCAAAATTTGCCTGGGCCCACATGGCCCCATGCCAAATTCGGCCCTGCTCCTTGAACAATCTTTATAGAACGTGGCCTGTAGAATCCATAATTTCAAACAGTTCCAAGATTGGGCCATTAGTTCAAAAGTTACAGCCCTTTGAATTTTCTTTCGAAATTGGTTTCTAGTCTATAACTTTTGATTGAGAAGTCTGATCGAAAAAGTACGAATTGTTTTGGATTCTACGCACCAAAATTAATAAGAAAAAGTGTTTTCCCGAGAAATTTTGGTGCAGTCGATTTTTGGAAAAAAGGAAGGTTATACACTGCCTTTTTTTGCCCCGAAAAAAAAATTGTCTCAGATCGTCCCGGAAAAAAATTTTCCTTATAGAGCGTGGCCTGTAAAATCCATAATTTCAAACAGTTGCAAGATTGGGCTACTAGTTCAAAAGTTACAGCCCTTTGAATTTTCTTTCGAAATTAGTTTCTAGTCTATAACATTTTTTTGAGAAGTCTGATGGAAAAAGTACGGATTGTTTTGGATTCTACGCACCAAAATTAATAAGAAAAAGTGTTTTCCCGAGAAATTTTGGTCCAGTCGAGCAATATTGCAAATTTGTTAGTTACAGAATTGGACTGAATAACCAATTTGAAATAAAAAAGTTAATGGTGACTATTAGTGTGGGTAATAGGGAGTTTGAAAATACTTCAAACTGAAAGAGAATCTGGAATTATTCGGGACTCCGACAGATTTTTCCATTACCGGAAACTTCTAACGAACCATGAAAAGTAAAAATACTCGGAGTTTCCCAAAAATACCGTAGTTATTTACGTATATCAGAAAGCAATTTCAAAAAGAATTTTAGTTCAAATCAGCAATTTCGAGGTACATAGATTAAAACAAAATACGAAGCATCGCGTGCGATTTTTGGTGGGGGAATTTTTTGACACTTAGCTCGCATTCGAAAACACGACTTTTAATCTGGCTCATATTCACTAGCACTAATCGTTGAGCTCGTAGAAATCGATTAGCGAAAGTTTCTGTTTCCTTCGAATAATTCCCATAAAAAATGGCATATTTCAAAGGGTTACGTTACGTATTTAAGGGTGTTTTGTGAATTTATAGCATGAGTAATTTTAGTGCACAATTCTTATGGTAGTTGGGAATTTTTCATGAGAATTAAAACACAATTTTTTGTTTACTATATAGGCAAATTGAATCCTGTTTAATGGAAGTTCCAACATCGATGCCGAAGTGATTATTAGTTAAATTCGCGCTCGTATGTGATAAATTTGGACACAACACTAATAAATTCATTAATATTTAATTCTAAATAAATATATCACGTAATTAAATTAACATTACAGTAATTATAATGTTCTGATGTTTTTTAAACATTAAGATTGATAAAAAAACTTGAGCAATTGTAACTTACAACAAATGCAGTTGCAAATCTAGTTTCGCTTCAGGATATATGAAAGTAGTTTTTGCGCCGCTCTATATACAGTCTGTTAAGTGCATTTGAAATTTTGTAGCGTTCTATTCGACTTCGGTCCCTGAATTATTTAGAGGTTTCCAAGCATTTACAAAGCCCTAGAGAGATTAGGAAGCTCTAAAAAAAAACTACCAGAACTATGACTAAAATTTATTAAGTACTACATATTTACAGAGTTATTGAAAACCGTCATTTCTCTCCTAAAGAGAAAGTCCAGACTAGGGCCCAGACACATATCCGACCTTTTTTTAATAACCCCGCAACAGAAAATTATTTGAAAACAAACCTTACGACTACTGAAGTGATCCGTCCATAATAAACTAAAATCGGTATAAAAACGACAAGATACGAGGAATCGCATACGATTTTCAGTAAGCTAATTTTTTACTACTCAGCTCGTATTTGAAAACCAGACTTTTAATCCGGCTCATATTCAATAGCACTCGTAGAAATCGATTGGCGAAGCTGTGACATCGCTATCTCTTTTCGTCATCGAGTTAGATGAGGAGCAGATGGACAACACCATCACGTAAGGGGAATTTGGTCGTTCAAACCGTTACTAAAATTGTACAGAAGTTTTGTTAATTATATTCAGTTCGAATCCACCATAGGGAAATCGTGAATTGAATAGGTACGTAATTTGATATCGCTCGAACTTAGTGGTCTAATTACACCGAAATTAAGGTTCGTAAATGCCACTAATCTTAACTTTGTCAAAATTATACTTGTGCTTAATAATCATTAATTAAAATTAAGCCATTCGGACTGTCAATTATTTGTAATTGGAAACGGAATTAAGTTTGCTAATCACGCAAGCTGCCAGTAAATTACAAGTTGAAAGGATTAATTAATTCCTTCTCTTATGATTGATGGTTGATGATGGATTTGCTGATGATCGAGTGACCAAATAGTGCCTTAAATTTTGGGTTCTGTAGGAAGCGACCTAGGCGGAACTACGCCTATTATAATAAAGACATTATTATTCTGTCAGTGAGCCTCCAACGTTGGTTCTGTAAACCGCAGGTCATTTCATTCCATAATACCAGTCCGCGTTTCCGTGGCCAATCGATGCCGAGTACAGCAATTTATGCCTGTCTGTCCCAAAAGAGTGGAGAGCCGAATGTCGTTGCAATCGGTATCGCTCCGACGGGTTTACATTTCCCAAACTATCATGGAACGCGACCCACGAATATTGAATGGGCGATTCGCCGCTGTATAAAATATGAATAAAAAAATAGTGGCAAATTTGAATTTTCAATTAGAACAAATAAGATAACATTAAGTAGTTCCACGACCCCTGTTTCGATTCTTCGATGCAACCCTTACGAATTTAGTAGCAATTTGACCACAGTTTGTTCAGATTATTTTATTCTGATGTTGCTCGAGTGAGCCCGATTTCCCATTAGAGCCTTTGGCTGCGTCTACTGTTCTTTGGTGGTTTCGGGGCAAGCCTTTGTCAAATGACCTTCCTTTTTGCAGTTAAAGCACAACATCGAGTCAAAGAAGGGATAGGAATAGTAGGAGGTATTATCATGACCAATAGCACAGGAATGTTATGTACACCTTGGGGCTAAATAAATACTTGGCGCCGGAAGCTTAAAATATGTTGGTATCCAGGAATGGTTAACCCTGCACGTAGTATCGATATGCTTGATACTGGATTGATTTTCGATTGTTTTAACTTGGATAGGATGGCGTCGTTGGGTATTATAGGTGGGACACAAGGGCGCCATTCGAGGGGGGC